TGTAATCAATAATGTTTTGAATTATCCAGTTCACAATACAGAAAAAGGAAAAAAGGGAATTACCCAGATTTTAAACTTTAGAAAAATACACAATGCACACAATAAACTAAAGCCAGAGCATATTTGCCAACACCTTTAAGGCTTTGAAAAAAAAGACAGAAAAATGTAAATTGTACATAATCTTGCACCTTGATGCACATAACTTATATAATCTAAGTACAGGACTTTAAATAGAGAGTTGTAATGATGTAATAAAGAAAAAAATAGATAGATAGATAGATAGATAGATAGATAGATAGATAGATAGATAGATAGATAGATAGATAGATAGATAGATAGATAGATAGATAGATAGATAGATAGATAGATAGATAGATAGATAGATAGATAGATAGATAGATAGATGATAGATAGATACACTATATTGCCAAAAGTATTTGCTCACCCATCCAAATTATTGGAATCAGGTGTTCCAATCACTTCCATGGCCACAGGTGTATAAATTCAAGCACCTAGGCATGCAGACTGTTTTTACAAACATTTGTGAAAGAATGGGTCGCTCTCAGGAGCTCAGTGAATTCCAGCGTGGAACTGTGATAGGATGCCACCTGTGCAACAAATCCAGTCGTGAAATTTCCTCGCTCCTAAATATTCCACAGTCAACTGTCAGCTGTATTATAAGAAAATGGAAGTGTTTGGGAACGACAGCAACTCAGCCACGAAGTGGTAGGCCACGTAAACTGACGGAGCGGGGTCAGCGGATGCTGACGCGCATAGTGCGAAGAGGTCGCCAACTTTCTGCAGAGTCAATCACTACAGACCTCCAAACTTCATGTGGCCTTCAGATTAGCTCAAGAACAGTGCGCAGAGAGCTTCATGGAATGGGTTTCCATGGTCGAGCAGCTGCATCCAAGCCATACATCACCAAGTGCAATGCAAAGCGTCGGATGCGGTGGTGTAAAGCACGCCGCCACTGGACTCTAGAGCAGTGGAGACGCGTTCTCTGGAGTGACGAATCGCGCTTCTCCATCTGGCAATCTGATGGACGGGTCTGGGTTTGGCGGTTGCCAGGAGAACGGTACTTGTCTGACTGCATTGTGCCAAGTGTAAAGTTTGGTGGAGGGGGGATTATGGTGTGGGGTTGTTTTTCAGGAGCTGGGCTTGGCCCCTTAGTTCCAGTGAAAGGAACTCTGAATGCTTCAGCATACCAAGACATTTTGGACAATTCCATGCTCCCAACTTTGTGGGAACAGTTTGGAGCTGGCCCCTTCCTCTTCCAACATGACTGTGCACCAGTGCACAAAGCAAGGTCCATAAAGACATGGATGACAGAGTCTGGTGTGGATGAACTTGACTGGCCTGCACAGAGTCCTGACCTCAACCCGATAGAACACCTTTGGGATGAATTAGAGCGGAGACTGAGAGCCAGGCCTTCTCGTCCAACATCAGTGTGCGACCTCACAAATGCGCTTCTGGAAGAATGGTCAAAAATTCCCATAAACACACTCCTAAACCTTGTGGACAGCCTTCCCAGAAGAGTTGAAGCTGTTCTAGCTGCAAAGGGTGGACCGACGTCATATTGAACCCTATGGATTAGGAACGGGATGTCACTTAAGCTCATATGTGAGTCAAGGCAGGTGAGCAAATACTTTTGGCAATATAGTGTAGATAGATAGATAGATAGATCGATAGATCGATAGATCGATAGATCGATAGATAGATAGATAGATAGATAGATAGATAGATAGATCGATAGATCGATAGATAGAATAACATACAATAGATAATTAATTAATTAAAATGGTAATTTTAAAAGTTTAGTAAATCAGATATGTTTGGTTTATTGAAGATTTTAACTGTCCCTCTGCAAAAGTGTATGGTTCACATTTAAGCACAGATTCCAAGATCTGTGCAGTGTGAGAACTACAAATCTAATATATCTGATGGTGGTATTGCTGTTGAAACTCCTGAAAAATGAAATTAGCATCCATTTTTTGCCTGCTATGTGTATAAAGAGAGGTCATTAACAAAATGAAAAAGAAGCTGTGGTTAGAGAGCCATCTGTCTGTCTCTACTGTATGTATGTCTTTCTGATCCATTCTTCTGCCAGTGGAGGTAAAATAATAAAATATTGTACATTAGAAGTCGGATGTTTGACATCCATTTACCTGAATGCACAGAAGATCAGCTCTGGGGAGGAGCTACTGTATGGGTAAAAGAGGGACAACACAGTAAAACAACACAGCTGCAGGCTATAGGAGTGTTGTGGTGTTGACTTAGCAAACATTGTTCCATCCACATCTAAACATTTACATTGTTTTGATGTGGATTATTGAAAGGAGTCAGGCTCTAATCAGGTTCTCGAACGGATTTTTGTGAGGTTTCCGATGATTTTTCTGTTGTCTTGCTGTATGGTTATGCTTGTTTGTGTTTAGATATTTAACAGTAATAGCCAAAATACCATTGTTAACACATGGAAATTAAGGAGTTATATAATTTTTTGGGGGGGAATTCACTTGCAGTCAGTGAGATGAGAAAATATATTTCCACTCCTGTTAGGAGTGGAGTGTAAAAACTGGGATTGTGAGCTTGTTTTGTTTCCTTTATTTCACAATAAAAATTGCTCAAGCAGAAGAGCTGATAGACAGAGCTTGATGTGAGTCTTATCTTAGTTAGACTCCTTTGTTACAAGGTTTCTTCAATAACCCTTTTGTTACAAAAATAAGTGACATTCTGAGAAAAATGTGACTCAGCCACTGAGTCAGTGTTTTCAACAGTTGTTTGAAAGGAATGGCTCCTCAAGAACTGGCTCCCTGCAAAGAGCACTATTACATAACACTATGGACGGAAAAACAAAATGAGAGATTTAAAAGTTAGTGTATCTAGCCATTTCTTGATAAACTGACAGGTTTGCGGCAAACTTTCTTGCTTCAAAACATCTTAAAAACTTATTTTGTGACACTCTTAGGGTATGAAGATAACACATTCACCTTTATCTGTTACTGCCGCCTCTATTGCAGCAAAGCTCTGCAGCTGTACACAACCAAAATTAATAGAAAAACAATGAAAAGGGAACAATGAAATAAGGAAGATTTTGTTAACAGTGATTTGTCAGAATGAGTGAGTTTTGAATTCACGTTTTCTTTGATAAAGCCGTAAAGCTCATCATGATAATTAAAAACTTGAGGATTCATTAGTTTCAATAAATGTTGATCCAAACACCATCAGAATATCTAAGTTTATGATTCTATATTCTTTGTTTTCCCAATACATTCCATTTTTCCACAATACTGTTTCGACTGTGACCACGATGTCAAGAGGGAGTTATATGTTGTTTTTTTTCTAAAACAATTAATAAATAACTTTAAAATTAATAGTTGAAGCTAGAGATAGTTAGCTTAAAGTTGATCATTTCACATTACATTTACTACTTTATTTCAGTCCCTCTGTGTATAATTTAGCCTTTTTCTTTCGCTACACATCATTTACATATTCATTAAAAAAAAAACTAATATGACCGGACCAAAGAAGACCTACAGCAGTTTAAAACAAAACATAAGAACGTTTTGGAGACTGAAAGTATCTTTATAAAATGTTGACTATAATGTACAGTACGTATCTAGTATAACTTACTGGGTGCCTTAACACATATTTGATCCTCTTTCTAATTTTAGGGGTTAAAAAGGGATGAAATATCTGGTGCAGGAAGCGGCCCACCTTTCCCAGAATTCATGCTTTTTAGAAATCTGGCTCTTCATCAAAACAAAAGGAGGCCTCATTTAGAAGAGTCAAAGAGAGACAGACTCTGGACTCATGGACTGAGCCAGACCACTTTGGCCATGTGTTCCTGAAGATGCATCACAGATCATCTAAAGCAATAAAATGTGTTAAGATTTTTACTTTGAATGTTGGAATTTTCTGCTAACATAATTATCTTCATATGCTCCAGAAGGGCATTATATCTTATTGTGTGTGCAGTCCAGAGCACCAACAGCATAAGGAAATCCTGAATCATGAAAATAAAACAAGTAGTTCAACTATTACAAAGTTTCCTAATGATGTTTCGCCTACTGTAGAATCGCTCCTTGTTTTAGTTATTCTTCTAAAGCACCAGGATTATCTAAACTTGGCTGTTAGTCTGATCTGGAGCAGGTAACTTATTGGTCTCTACTTTTGTTGAATCAAGCTAAATGAAGCCAAAATATCCAGAAAATCCCAACCTAATCCTTCTATTTGTTTCTGTGAAATAGCCGTCTGCTGATATCCAACTATTAACTAAAATAAGAAAAGTTTTGACTATTTCTGTGTTTTTTTTGTGTGGAATTTTTTTCACTGTTTTAATTGTGACACATTTTTAGGAAGTTAGTCATTTGAACATACCAGCAAAATAAATGTTAGTCTGAACATAACCAATAGTAAACTTGTTGACTTAAAAGTATGGTCTGCAATTATAACCCGACACAATTTTATTTTTTTTTCTATTTCAGCAAATATTTCTTTCCACATTCTGTGATGGCTGTTCTGTTTGGGAACTTAAAAATATAGAGGTGTTCTTTATCAGTAGTTAAAGGTAAAGGCAAGTAAATAGAGGGAGGACTTTTCATTTTCCCACTACAGAAAAATTCACTTCACCAACAAAACATCACCACATGTTTCAGTAGTGACTATTTTCAGTAGTGACTATTTTAGATCATTTTTAACCAATCAGAGATGCTGACTCGACAATGCAACACTACAACATCATAACTTGTGCAATGTATAATGTTTAATTACTATTTAATACCCTGTGCAATAACCTGTTTCTCTATATTTGACACCCAGTTCAATAACTATATATATAATATAAATATCCATCTATATAAATACCTAATCAAATTTCCTAATTGTGGGACAAAAAAGGTATTTACATTTACTTAAACCCAATTTTGTCTTTAATTGGACTATTGTAGGATTTTAGTATATTTTCACAATATGCATGCCTAAAGTATTTCTTTTTGGGGTTTTTTCAGAGGGAAGCAGGCCTTCAGTATAATATCCCATACATAACTGTACATGTATACAACAATCAACTAAATATGTTAAGAGGCACAGATGGTTTTGACCAGAGATCTTGATGACCATTTTGAAGAGTTTACCTGCTGTTCTGCAGACTGCTCTGTTTTTTCTCCTTCTTTTCTACTTGAAGACATCTGGGGGTTTTTTTGTATATAGACCAGAAACTGATATAAATACAGGAAAAACAGACTTAGAGTGGCCACAAAATGCAAAAATGATGTGCATAAAATAATAACTTTTGGTTATAAATGCACATGGGTAAAATTGTGTTGTAGACATTTTACTTTTATTACATTCATGTGCTTTTAAACTTTTATCTTATGGTATTTATTCAACTAAAACTTTACTTTATCATGAGGATAGTTCAAGTTTTTGCTGTTCGGCTCCCGGTGATATCGTAAAGAATTTCCCAAGGGATTATAAAGTAATTCTGATTCTGGTGAAATAGTAATTGTGGTTAAGAAACATGGACATGGTGTAATGAGAAGCATAGACCTGAAACCCTAATAATATAATGTATTCTTGAATTAAAGTCTTTTCCAGACCGGAGTTGCCTAAATAATTTATTTGTTTGGCTTGCACTCCCCAAGGTGAAGTTTTAGTACACCTTGGCTGTGCAACTGCAATAAAAGCTTAAACTCTTCTGGAATAAGGTGCTTATTTGTAGGTTTCAAATCGTCATAATAGTGCGCAGTCAGATCTTGGAAGCTGTGGGGATGAACACTATAGGGCCAGAATCCATACAGATGAACATTGTCACATAGCTCCAGTGCCAGGCTTGTCATAATGAGACCAGTGGTGATACGTTGTTCCTTCAATTTAAAAGATTTCCAAAACACATTTAGACTATCAATGTAGTTTGGATTAAAGAAAACAGGCTGGATGGGCAATTCAAAGTCCTCAATGGTATAGAAGGCCCGCATACACAATTCTGTGTGACCAACATAGGAGAATGCAGGAAGGAACAACTTGGAGTTGCCATACTGGCACAGTCTCTCAACAAAGACACGCCGACTTCTTAAAAGAGAGTCATGCCTGCAATAACAAACCAACTGTGAACTGGGAGTTTGGAGAAATTCAACTAAAAAAAAAATAAAAATAAAAAATTATATCTGTTTGCTCACCAATGGGAAATGATACTGGGGTTTGCCGTCACAATATCCGTTTTAACACCGACATGTTTCTCGTATCCATTTAACAAAGGTGCTAAGTTACACCTGAAAAGACAACATGAAACATTTTTTGAATTTGCTTATGTTTTAGCATCCAAGATGCACAATACTGTTGAGAATGTTTTTACCTGATCACAAACTGAGCTGAATCAATCATTTTTCCACAGCTGCTGTTTGCCAAGATGCCTCCATTCCCAATGACAGCACATGTATGCCGTCTTTTATTTAAGGCCGGGTATGTCTGCAATCATTTTCCACAGGAAATTCAAAAATATATTAGAAAATGAAATTAATTACTCAGACTTTATCCCAAAACATCCACCTTTACTTGATGCAGGGATTTATGGTTGTTTATTAAAATTCCGCTATTACATTAAATCACTGCTTCAAACTTAAATTATCCATATGTGAGAAGTCAGCACATTATTCATTTTGATAGATATCAAGACAACACAATATTAAAGAAAGTAACTCTGAGCAAGTTCTTAGAAGTGTTTTTTTTCCCCTCTTTTGGTTGATACTTTGCTATATGTGTGTGTGTTGATCCTACTATCACATTGTCCTGTAACTGTTATGTTGTTGCACTTACAGTGCCTGGCAATGGATTCAGGGCCCCTTTAACTCTTTGACCACTTGCCACATTTCAGGCTTCAAACATAAGAATCAACAACAGGTGGGACGAGAAGAATCAACAACAGGTGGGACATGATCATGAAATGGAAAGACATTTAATGGATATTTGAAAGTTTTTTAACAAATAAATAACTGAAGGATGGGTGTGCAAAATGATCCTGGCCCCTTTACTTTCAGTGAAGTGAACTCTATCCAAAAGTTCAGTGATGATCTCTGAATGATCAATGTTGACGTAAATAATTGCTGATGATAAAAAATACACCTGTGTGTAATCAAGTCTCTGTATAACTGCACCTGCTCTGTGATAGTCTCAGAGATCTGTTTAAAGGGCAGAGAGCATTATGAAGAACAAGGAACACACCAGGCAGGTCAGAGATACTGTTATGGAGAAGTTAAAGCTGGATTTGGATACGAAAAGATTTCCCAAGCTTTAAACATCCCAAGGAGTATTGAACAAGCAATGATATTGAAATGGAATGAGTATTAGACCACAGCGATCTACAAAGACCCAGCCCCATTTAGCTCTCAGCTCAAACTAGGAGAAGACTGATCAAAGATGTAGCCATGATGCCCATGAACACTTTGGATGAACTGAAGAGATCTACAGCTGTGGTGGGAGACTGTCTATAGGACAACAATCAGTTGTAAACTGCACAAATCTGGCCTTTATGGGAGAAAGCCAGCAAACGTGGAAGAACCGGGTCTGGTCAGATGAAACCAAAATCAAACTTTCTGGCAACAATGCACAATGTTATGTTTGACGTAAAAGCAACACTGTTCATCACAATGAACACACCATCTCCACTGTCAAGCATGGTGGTGGCAGCATCATAGTTTGGGCCTGTTTTTCTTTAGCAGGGACAGGGAAGATGGTTAGAATTGATAGCAAGATGGATGCAGCCAAATACAGGATTTCTGGAAGACAACGTGTCGGAGGCTGAAAAAACCTGAGAGTGGGACGTAGATTTATCTTCCAACAAGACAATGATCCAAAACATTAAGTAAAATCTGCAATTGAATGGTTTGCAAATACACATATCCAGGTGTTATTATGGCCAAGTCAATGTCCAGACCTGAATCCAATCGAGAATTTGTGGAAAGAACTTAAGACTGCTGTTCACAAATGCTCTCCATCCAACCTCACTAAGCTGGAGCTGTTTTGTAAGGAAGAACTGGCAAAAATCTTAGTTTCTCGATGGGCAAAATTGATAGACATACCTCAAGTGACTTGCAGCTGTTATTGCAGTAAAAGGTGCCGCTAAAAAGTATTCACTCAAGGGGGCTGAATGGTTTTGCACAACCAATTTATTTTGTTTTTTATTTGCTAAAAAAGGTTTAAAATAGCCAAAGAAAAGATTTTCCACTTTATGATTGTGTCCTACTTTTTGTTGATTCTTCACAAAGAATTATAATTTTACATCTTTATGTTTGAGGCCACCAAAAGGTCAAAAAGTTCAAGTGGACTGAATACTTTCACAAGGCACTGTATGTATTCAGCTGGGTTGTCTATCTCTGTGTTTGAATCCGGCAGCTGCCTCCTCTGAAGCCCAGATTAGTCAGCCAATTATGTCAGAGCACAGCGCTGGGGCCTGTTTGAATCTGAAGACTCCTTCATATGCGACTGACAAATGCAGCCTTTTTTTGCCCCTCTTTAAGGACAGGTACGTATTATTCGTGATTATTTGAGCAAGCCAGCTACTCTGTGCTTAGAGGAAAAGGGGAAATGGTGACGAGTAGTAGTGAAAATTGTATGTATAGGTTAATATAATACAAGTATGTGAATAACTTTGCATTTATTTAGTGAAAACAGTTCATTTATATGGTTAGTAAGTCAGATATGTTGCGGGTAATGTTTGGTTTATTGAAAAGTTATCTGTCCCTGTGCAACTATGTTTGGCTGGCACTGAAGCATGGATTCCAAAATGTGGGCATTGTGTGAACTACAAATCTGATATCTGTGACGGTGGTACAGCTGCAGCTCCTCAAAAAGTAAATTAGCATCTATTCTTTGTTTGCTTTGTGTAACAACTGTTTTGGTTGCTGGGCGACAGAGCTTAGTGAGGGGCAGTGACAATTAGACGACCTTTTCAAATCTATAGCCAAACTCTTCCAGCCTCCTCATTTTCACAGCTTACAAGACACTCAGTCCAGATGGGCCAGGTACCATCTGAGGATGCAGCCGCCGGACTTGAACACACCCTATAAAAAACGCTTTGGTGTAACACAGTTTGGTCTGTAAGTATTCTTTGTACCAGACAGGCTAAAGGTTAAAGGCCTACATGATTCACACCCTTGAATAAAATTAGGTTTAAATTTAAATGTTCCGTTTTACAACTAAGTAGGAGTGGGCAATATAGCCTAAAAGCCAATCCTCAACATAGGTTGCATGTATTGTCTATATTACTGCCATGGACAAAAATAAATTTGTATTTATTTATTCATTTTTTAGTTTGTTGTTGATAAAAAAAGAATATAATTAAGGCAGTTTCACAGTTGTTAGGAGTGTGGCTAACCTTTCCTTAGCACTAACTCAAAATTGAATCAGATAAATATATAGACTATATAGACTGAAGATTCAACTAACAAGTAAAGAACGTTGTAACCTATTTCATTCAAAAAACACACAAATATAAAGTCTCTGGGCCAACTGTGTTTGTCATAGAAAATTGGAATCATTGATGTGAGTTAATGTCAGTTGCTACCAGATGAAATTCTGAAGTGGAGTCGAGAAGAATAAATTACAGAGATGTAGCATATTTTTGTGTCTTTTTCTTGTAAACTGTACAAGACATTGCATAAAACAAATATCATATGAAATTAAGCATATGTTTCATAATCGAAGTGCAAACTATAACCTTTCTGGTAAAAATAATCTACTGTGGTATAAAAATACCAAAAAGAAAAAGTCATTGTAGAAATATTGTCAGCAAGAGTAATCAGTGAGCAATTCTAAATAACTTACTTTGGCAAATCTATTAAAATGCTCTGAGTTCACTGTAACTGATTTCGTCTTCTGGGAATCATAGACAACTGTTGCTCCCAGTGGAGTGTTTTTCTGGGTCATGATGGCATTCTCAAAGCCATTGCACTTGAGGCTAAGCTGAGTCCTGGGAAACCAAAAAAATACAGAGAAATAAAACAGTTTGCTTGGATGTAAGGAGTGCAGAGACAGAGGAAACTCTATATAATGCGTATTACTAAGGCTATGCTGGGCTGACGTGATATGCTGAGCTGACAACACCGGACTGGAGCAGAGCAAATGGTCATCCTAAAAGTATTACTTTCTTGTGATTGGCTTATACAAGGGAGATATGTGATTGGTTGCAAATCATTCCCTGTATAAAAAAAAAATGCATTTGTGTATCGAGGCACGTCAAGAGAGTCTTAAAAATCCAGACACAAATGCAGTGAAGCTTAAAGACCAATAGTACTTTGTAATTTAATTTATAATGTTTATGGACCAGAAATACTTTGGTGAATGCACGTGTGAGAATCTTGTATGCTTGCGTGAATCATGCTGTGTGGAGCTGGTCTTGTGCATGTATGAATCACATATGTGTATTTGTGAAAACTGAGACCGATTTAGCTACATATATAAGCCTCTTCATAATAGACAATCTGCATTATAAAAGAACTATAAGAAGATGGCCACAAGAAGCTGAAGAAGCTTTGCAAGGTTGTTTGGAGGCTACAGCACTGTTAGCCACATGGAGAGGATATCAAAGCAATGACTGAGTTTGCAACTGACCACATGGACTTCTGTGTAAGGAGGCACACAGAAGGAGGCAGAAAAGCAACCTCCAGCAGAACAATATCAGAGATGTGTGATCAGGGAAAAAAGACCACAATCAAAATGATGATCAGCAGATGGTAGTCTGGACGGGGTCAATGAATTGAATACCTTCTTCAACAGGTCCAGTTCAGGAACAAGCTCAGCATCCTTCTCTCTTGCCCTCAGTCACATGGAAATATTGCCCTCCTCTGCCATTGACTCTCCTGCTTCTAGAAATTTGTTCTCAACCAAATCTGAAAAAATGCTGCTGGGTCGTCGGGCCCTCGATTGTTCTCGTCTGCTCTTCTCTGGTGGGTGTGGCCATCCCTTTGTCAGCCCTCCTTAAATCTCAGGGATTTGGGGTTCCCTTGGATAACCAGGGCTCGGAGTGTGTCTTTTTTGGTCGTGGACGAGTCTGTGGCTGTTCACACCTTCTATTGAGTGCATTTTACTTTTGAAGAAGCTTTCTTTTTTTCTCTCTGTCTGTTTGTCTGTGCATCCATCCATGTGACTCAATGTAGTCAGCTAAGTTTTGTTAGGTAGAAAACTTTTAACCTTAATCTGACTCTATGATATGATTGAATTGGCTTCGTAAAGAGTCTTGAGATGACAAGTGTTTTGAAATGGCGCTATATAAGTAAACAGAAGAATAATTTATGCATCTACATGGCATCCAATTATCTGAATAAAAACAAGACTGAATTAATCATTTTTGGCACAAATGAAGATTGAATAAATGTCAGCACATAGATTCAGTTATAAAATAAAGTTTTAAGTTTGGCCTTTTACTACAAGAAGGAACTTAAATTTCACTTGAAATGATACAAGTGATGATGTGCTTATCATTTCACAGAACTTGTTCCATTATTAGGGGTTATTTTATACATCAATATTTCATGAAACAGCTTACCAAATGCATCTCTGTTCATAACAAATAAATGATGACTGTTAAAGACCTTGACTTTACCTGATTGCCTCGTGCCTGCTTTCATTTTTAACCCAGGGTTTAGAGTAATTCTTCAGAATTTCATCTATTGTCTTCCTGTTGTACATCAACAAATGCATTTACCCAGTTAGGTCTTGGAACATTTCTTATATTACTTATATTGAGTGAAGAAAATGCAGAAATAGAATTAAAGGCAAGGGATAAAAATTGTGTAGCTTGATCTCACCTGCAGTCTTTGCAAGAATTAGAGGACTTAGGAGGCCGTGGCTCAGGTTTCTTATTGCTGTAATTCAGAAAAAGAAAGGATTCTGTATGTGTCAATGACTTCTTAAATATAATTACAAGATTTTATCATTGATCATACTGTATGAGATGTTTAAACATTGAGATGTTGCTTCATTTTAAATGTTTAAACAACTTTTTCACTAACATGCTGCTGTGTACCCTGATCCTTATGATGGAATTTATTCTCCATTCCGCCTAAAGCTGTCACAGAAGAGTTGGATTTATAATAAAATTAAATAACACAAATGTAGACTTTTTTAACTGATTAGGTTACTTCTAAAAGGAGCTGGACCCCCCTAAATAACATGGGTTGGGAGAAAATGGAGATCAATAGAAATATATATAGCACTCCTCAAGTGGTAATTGTGAAAAGTTTTGATCTATTTTCTCTGACAAAATATTATGCTCTGCTTTGACTTTCCACTCAAACTCCCAATCTATTTCTCAAAATCAGTCTCACAAATTCTTGGTATTTTAAAAAAAAAGATATACTTACTAGATATTTTGAATTCTTTCTTTCCACGCTGGAGAGCAAACCTTCAATACTTTGTTACTTTTAAACCTGAAACACACAGTGCACCACAGTACAAAGTAATAAAAAAGCTAAATTGACATTTAATTACATGAAATTGAAAGCAGTAAGAGTCTGTTCTCACCTGTCCCACTTATACAAATTTGTGGTTTTGCTCTGTACAAGGAATGACGGAAGCTGTCCGTTAAGAAGATTCCAGTCACTAACAAAAAGAAAAAAGTGATCTTATTATTTTATAGTTTTTCCTTAGATTTAAGTGTGGTTACTAGTTTAAGTTGTGCTTTAACAAAAAAATACCCTATAATATACTGCTGTTTTAATAGTGGAATGGAGTAATAACACAAGAATAATCACCTTTACTCCTGATTGCAAAACAATCTATCCCTTTAGAAACATTAAGCAGCAATTGAGGAATATTGTCAAGTTAAGGGTCTTTCTCAGGGACCCTGAGTTATATTCCAGGGTTTGAATCACCAATCTTGTAGCTTCTCCAAGACACACATGCCCTCCTCTCTGACCACTGGACAACCATGAAGGCTCCCTTTCAGTAAAGCAGTCTCTTATTTTAGTGGATTTATAGGTAAAATTCTTTAAAACTCTTTTTGCTATCATTATGAGAATTCATTGTAAAATAAATAGAAATATAATATCCCTTTATTGTCCCACTATGGGGACATTTTTGTCTTACAGCAAAAGCATAACAGCAAACATCTTCACACAAATGTGGACCTTCAAAAATGCATAAAAATAACAGTAAGTGACAGTAAAAAAAAAAACAAATACTGTATCGTGTTTTTTCAATATAGATGCTGTGCAATCATCTGAAGAATAAACAATTAATATACAGCTGTGGACATTTTTTAAAGCAATGGATATGTGAAAATAACAGCAACACCGGATATGTGCAATTATTATTGCGATGTTGATAATACTCTAGATTAAAAATACAAATTTGAACAAAACAACAATTTTAATGGTTGGTTATTATCAACAAATGAATTTTGGGTTGTCACAAGTTGGACCTAACCTAATTTGATTCACTGCTTAGTGACTAGTTGTAGGATACAGTCTTTGGTCAAAATGCTAACATTATGGTTTTGAGAATAATTACATATTGGAGGTTGTACCTTTCTCCTTCCTCCTTCACTGCATTTGAGGCTTTTTCACATAGATAATTTACAAATATATGTCGAGAGGCTTGGAATTTCTAAAATAAAACTGCATAATTACTGAGACATATGAAATGGCTTATCAGAAATTATTCAAACCCCTATGCTTAGTTCTCAATGACAGTTTGAAAGATGGCGTAGTTTAATTTGTTCCTGTACATCTGCCTTCTACACTGCTTTATCCACCTCCCAACTGCATGTCGTTGCCACACTTTAAGAGCCACACTTAAGCTGGTTGAAAATCACCCAATATGTAAAGGCATTCTTTGAAGTTTTCTCTATACCAGATGAGAGTGGTCATCAGGTTTAGATTCAGGGCACACCCCTTGTAGAGGCTAAGCCAAAGCTTTAAGCCCCTGAGGTGGTACACCAGGGTAAAGTTGACACGCCGATTACTTAGCCGCTTAATTAAAATGAGAGCCGTCCTTGATGTTAGTGCAGGTAATCCATTTATTTCCATGACTCGGCAATGTTGACAATAACACCGCATACATAGTTTCTGAGATCCACATAGCTTTCACTTCAATATCGGTAGCATAGCATCACGTTAGTATTGCGTTGCGTTGCAGTCAAAAACTGTTTCCCCCTTTCGGGTGGAACACACCTGTCCTCATCAACACCGGATCATACCTATATAGACAGCTGACAGATCATGTGACCCAAACCATTTGGAATACAGAAATTCATAATCTGCTCCTTAACCCCTTATGAGTTTTCCTTTTCCTGCTGTTTTCAACTGCTTTTTAATTCCATTTTATGTCATGTGACTCAAACTGTTTGCTGTCTACTTTTTGTTTTGCTCTCTGTCATCTAAGATATTCCCCTGTCTCTTGTACCTTGACCCTATTTGAATTTTCAGTAATATTTTGTTAGATAACTCATATTTCTTAAATTATTTTTTCTAAATTTTTGTCATAGGAGATGATTTCTTATAACAAAGTTTTGTAACTTGTACAGAACGCAACAATACAGACAGTCAAAGGTTATGGTTTATTCACTCATTTTTTAAATACAGGAACTAGAATAAAATAAAAAAAATAATAATTTCATCTCAGTTCATGTTCAGTTTAAAAGCTATATTAATAATCTCGTAAGAAAATCTACTTTCGGTTTCGGGTAATGTTCAAATGTACTAACTAAGCAGTCCGTAGAAAAAGCTGTCAGGGCAATTTAAGACAAAGACCCAAAAGTATTTTCATGGTAAGTGACAAACACAACATTTGTCCAGTCCTAAGAAAACGCTGTTATCACACCTGTCATACAGGAACAGTGTTGCATGTGGGCCCCTTAACAGGGAGCTAACCAAGCAGGACAAAAAGAAAATGTCTATCACCTGTAAAATCATTTCACCAATAGTTTCCCGTGGATTGTTTATTGATAATAAAACCTGCTCAAAAACTTGAATATCAAGACATTTTCTGTAAATAATTAGCCAAACATTAATGTAAAAGGTTGAGCCAGTAAGGTTAGTTGACCAAGTCTTTACATATAAAATGCCATTGAAAACAAACCGCTCAATGGGATCTTATAAACACAGTGACCTTTGAATATGCTAACAAAGGTAAACCTTAAACACATTTTTCATCTCCTGTAATAACATATAATGTTAAAGGAACCCTCTGTGTTTACACCTTGAAGCTTTCTCTCTCCGGTTCTTTTTCCCGAAAAGAGTTAACTCAGAACAAACTCTTTAACTAACACTTCATTATGTATATGTGTTAAATAACCATTAGACATGTAAACAGACTTTATAGAAATTATAATCTTACTCAGATCAGAGAAGTTGCTTATTGTTACAGAAGGCAGCACTTACCAACCAGGCAAACATCTCATGAATTGGGCCCTGATTCACCGTTACACAAGCTTTTTATGCATCTCCAGTCTGCCATATCATCACATCATTTCATCATTCATGTTTGCAGATGAGGAGACATCCGTGGCTCCAGCATTATCAAAATATTACACTTTGTTCTTTGCTGAGGGACACCGCTCTCATTCCATTCCCAAATATTTGCCATGTACTGAATGAAGTTTATAACTGGTTATCCGGACAGAGGAACTCTCCTAATTAGATAAACTACTGGGGAAAACATCATTTCTGACATGCAACAGGCATGTAATATTAGGGTGTGACAAACTCAAACATAATCAATGATAATTATCCTAACACACACCTTCTGCATACAATAATTGCCTGGATTCTCCCTTGACATAAAAACAGCACAAGCAAAAAAAAACAAACAAACAAAAAAACATGCATTATCTTCCTGCTCCCAGAGGGAAAACAATGATACAGAAAAAATGAGACCAAAATAGTTAATTGCTAAAATAATCAGCAAGTACCAATCTAGAACTAAATCACCAGCTTTTCTTTCTATTCAAATTGAAAGCTGAATCTGTTTGGGGATTGCTGTTAATCAAAATTATGATGAAAAATGGAAATGGAAACTTCCACATTAAAACCTCAAAATAATTCTCTAGTTGTATTTCACACAAAACAAATTGCTTCTCCAAGACAGTAAATGTTTGCATTTTTTATTGATGCTGGGAAATACCTTCTTTTTTTTTCATTAGTTGATTAAAGGAGTTTATGAATAAAAAAAAATGTATCACTTTAGGAAAAAACACTGCAGCTCCTCATATTCCAGCAACAGTATTTTCTGTCATCAGAAAAACTGACACTTGCACACAAAAAAGACTAAAGTATGCTACTATTGAAGAAACTTACTTGCTGTCGAATGTTGTGCAGATTAAATAAGTCAGCAGGATGCCCAAAACAAGCGAAGGCAAATGTCGTACGAGTTGTCCCCTCATATCTTCTTGTTCTGTTAATCACACTGCATGCTCCTCCACTCGACCGCTGACTGATTGTCATTCCTGCTGTAATGTCAGAGTTTCTTTCTACGTTGTATTCCTGTAAAACCAGCTTAGTTTAGTAACACCTACAGCAATTCTCCGACAGTAGGGAACTTTGTCCTCTGGCCCCATAGGAGCTCACTGAGCTGACCTGGGGCAAAGCGGTATTAGTCTGAGGTTTGGAGGACTGAACTGTGAGTTCTCTCACCTTTAAATTCGGAAGGATATCAAAACTAAAAATGGGACTTTTGCTTCTCATCTTCTGTCCACTGCAAATATAACAAATAATTTAATGCTGAGGGCCGAAAAGAATTTAGTGAATGTGAGATGTATATACCATACATAAGAGATAGTTGCTTTAGTATCATAAATACTACAAGATTTTTGCACGCTTTTTCCTTGTTTTCACATTCCCTGTAAAACCCTTGAAGTTTATTATACATGAAAAGGAGAATAAATAGTTACTTCCTGACTGGATCCATACATTTTCATTAAAGAAAATAAGTTTTATTTTAGATTATTATCACTTTATTTGAGCTGTTTTTTTGGAGCCTTTATATTGATTTAGCTTTCTATTTTTTTTTTCTTCAAGGCATTTCTATTTTGACTACATAGGAATATGTTTTTCCTAACCTAAAACAGCATTGTTGGAGAACAGAACATGTGAATTACTCTTTTCTCACAGTCAAAAGCAAAGAAAAGACACTCATTCTACAGGAAAACTTACCCTACCACTAAGTGGCAGTGTAGTTGTTTTTTCTAGGCAGTATTTTCAGGGAAAACGAAACATAAGAGACTTCAAAGACTTAAAATAAGAGCCATTGAACTGCAGACATACAAACGGATTTGGTTCCACCCATTTAAATACATTTGCCCATTTTTAAGAATTCGAAACTTTCATTTAAAACATTTATTTGTTTTAGGTCTATAAAGATTAGTCTGACAAGTATTTTTTTTTTAAAATCAATTGGGATGACTTTATTTAAGGCAAAAAAAGGCACCATACTTCGTCCTCAGTCTGTCAGGGTGAAGAAAGAGGTCAGTGTCTGAAAAGTTCTCTGTTTAAAATATGTGTTTTGTTTTTACTACAAACTAGGCACACATTTCAGAGTGGTAAAAATTCTCAAAAACGGGTACATTCAGTTTGCTGGTCTTATTGTTTAGTCACAAAGTTCTTAAAAAGGAGGTAGTTTGCTACTGTACTATTAAAACACATTAAAACACACTCTACCAAAAAAACAGGGTAATATAAGTCCCTAATTGCAGATGGCCTCACAAAGGCTCATGTTACAGAATAATAACTTCTTCTGAACTCCATCCAGAACAAAACAATAAATAAAGTTGCAGAAAAAGATACTATCTTGTTTACAGGCTGTGTGTTTAGATTTCAATCTCAGTGCATATTTTGTAACTGCTGATAGACGTGCTGAACTGTATGGCTATGATCAGTGTATTCTAAACAGTCCATTTATTTACTAGAAGATTATATGCATGTTGATGACTGGTTTCATCCTGAAGCAATGGAGAAAGGCACTTTGCTCTATGTGCTGAGGAGTCTAGTTTCCCTGTGCTTTGCAGTCTCCAAGGTGTAATTTAAGCACACCCTGGCTGTGCAACCTCAACAAGTGGTTAAACTCCTCTGGCATGGCATGAAACTTTGTTTTGGTTTTTCTATCATCATAATAGTGGTTAGTTAAGATTTGAAAGTTGTGTGGGTGAACGTCGAAGGGCCAGAATCCATACAACTGCACATTGTCGCAGAGCTCCAAAGCAAGGCTTGTCATTATAATACCGGTGCTGAGTCGTACTGTTTTTAGGCCCTGAGAGCGCCAGAAAAGAGCCAGACTCTGGAGGTATCCAGGGTTGAAGAAGATAGATCTGATGGGGCTTTCAAAGTCCTCAAGCGTATACAAAGCCCGGAGAGACACAGGAGTGTTGCGGCCAAAGGAGAAAGCAGGAAGCAGCAAAAGAGAGTGGCCATAGCTGCGCAGACTCTCCACAAATTTCCGTCGCCGTCCCATCAGAGCCCCAAACCTACAAATAAAAAACTGATCAATTAAGAAAAAAAAGGCTAAAATTATATTATTTAAGGTGGAAAGCTACTCACTTTTCTATGAGGATGCTTGGGTTTGCAGTCACAAGGTCCGTCTTACTGCCAACATGTGTCTCATACCCATTTGACAAGGGAGGTAAATTGCATCTAACAACGGAACATGAGCACAAATACTGTTGGATAGAGCTTCCAAATGTCAAGTTTCATAGAAACTTGGAAAATGTTCTTACCTGATTACAAAGTCAGCTGAATCAATCTCTTTGCCACAGCTGCTGTTTCCCAGGATCCCACCATTACCAACAACAGCACACGTATGCCATGTTTTATTTGGAAAGGGATGCTCCTAGAATCATCACAACAGAAATATCTAAGATTTCATTTCCAGGCATAAGGAAACTTTCCTCAGATCTTTACCTTTAAAACCTTAGAATGTTAACACACTATTACATAAAGATTCATATTTTGACAAGTGCTTTGACAGAGAGTGGACAGATTTTTAGAAAAAATCTGCATCTCATCTATTGTCATTTTAGATGCAGCAAAAGTCCTTTATGGCTTTACAAAAATGTACATTCATATTGGAGGGGAAAAAAAAAGATTTCACATACAAACAAAAAGAATGTTGTTGGATCTTAAGAATAAATTTGGAACTTATTATCATTGTAATAAGTCTAGCACACATCTTGTTCATCAATTTAGAAAGTATAAAAAAAACAGTTTCAACGATACATAAAAGTAACAGTACACCAAAAGACAATCTTTCTTATATTGATAAAATGATATTGATTGCTCCAACTTTGGTGTTAGTTATTTTCTTACATAATTGTCCTAAATTAAAGAAGGAACAGAAAACAGTTGTTTGGTGTTTTAAAGGAGGCCTTGTGGCAAAGCTCCAGATGCTGGCTTTCTTGCAGAGTTAGATGGGATTCACAGCACAATATACCTTTTAAATGTTAATCTTTAAATGACCAGGAAGAAATTGACCAAAAAGCTTAAAAAAATGTAATCCCATATATTCAAGTTCAAGCCCCACACCCACAGACTGCCACTCTGGGTCCCTGAGCAAAGACCCTTAACCCCCAAACTGCTTCCCGGGTGCCTCACAATGGCAGCCCACTGCTCCCCAAGGGGATGGGTTAAAATGCAGAGAGTTCATTTCTTGGCTCTGTAATTGTGACAGTGTAAGGACAATAAAACCCTGGAAAAACCCTCCAGAAAAAAATATATAATAAAAGAAAACTTCTCAGGCTAATAGACTTTTGCAACATACAAAAATAAAGATTATATAATTGTGTCATTGGAATTTCTATTTGGTTCTTTAAATAGATTTGGACGTTTTTTGTTTTGCTAAGATTGCTAAAACGTTAACCTATACAAACCAGTGGACTTCTCAGCCCTTCTCCAGACTGTATTCATTGAACCAATAGTCTCTCTAATAGAGATAATATCCGCAACTAATAGGATCTCAACTATTTCAAAAATTGGAAAAAATCTAGATCCCTTCTGCTCTAATACTAATCGTCTGCAAACAATCCTTTACAGACTGGAAAATATTGAGTAACTGGTTGTCAACATTTCTAACAGGCTAAATAATTCAATTCAATTTAAAATACTTTATTTTTCCTGAAGGGAAATTAAATCTTGTAGTAACTCAAAGTTTTTTTTTGTTTTTTGTTTTTTATCCAATGGTAGTAGGGGTTGATAGATGTAAACAGGAGGGATCTTCTGTAGCTTTCTGTCTTGCACTGAATCTGGAGAAGCCTCTTACTAAGCACTTTGTTGTTGTTTAAAAATCTTGAGATCACCCTCACTGCAACAGATTTATAGAAGATATGTAGAATCTTGCTTCAAATGCTGAGGGTCCTAAGCTTCCTTAGAAAGTACAATCTACTCTGTCCTTTCTTGTAGATGGCTTTACAGTTGTGTCTCCAGTCTAGTTGTCTAAGTGAACACCAAGGTATTTATACTTCTTAACCATCTCTACTTCTTCTCTCATGATGTGAACAGGATTCAACTTGTACCCGTTTCTTCAGAAATCTACAATCATCTCCCTTGTTTCTTGACATTCAGGATCAGATGATTGTTTCAGTTCTTTTTAATGCAGAACAGGATTGTGATCTAGTTTCCCAGAGATGCATGAGTCATTGACAGTTGCAGTGTAGCAGAGAGTAAGGTGTGGTTAAAATCAACACAAATTGCCACAAATGCATTTGGCTGTTGTTTCTGTAGCTTAGAAACAATGGAACTTATTACCTGGCATGCAGTGTTGGCAACTGCAGAAGGTGTGATTTAAATGGTTACTAATATATCACTGGTAAACTCTCTAGGCAAAAAATATAGTCAGAAGCCAACTGCCAACGGTTCAATATCTTGGCTGCAGTGACTCATCTTCACAGTAACATGTCCTGGATGAAATGACACCATCTGTTATTCACAACGGGTTGTTCTCATCAACAATCTTCCGATGTCTCAATCATCAGGCACATTTATCTCACATTTAGTCTGGTTTATCAGGCTACCCTGGACATGTCAAACAACCAAACCTTTAGAGCCATTATCAATCACATAGATTACAGTACGTCTTAGAATTGATTTAAAAAAATCCTTCAAATAGCCTTTGGATAGACCTGAATACTATGAGAAGAAGTAGGTTTTTCTGATATTCAGTTTAACAGACCTTGAATTTTGCAGCATAGCTGTTGTTAAAGCTCTAATAGGGCTTGGGATCCGCATTGCATTGTGGGACGTGGCGGCCATGTTGATTGCTACGCGAACGTAAACATAGCTCTGATACAACGTTGTTGTTGAACGAAGAGACGTAGAAGTAGAGGGAAAAGATGTTAAAATCTCGAAAAGGATCTGGAATTTGACGGGACACATTAAATAGAGAAGCCAGGGACCGGTATGTTGACAAAATCAGCATTATTAATGATTTGGATCCATATGATGAGTGAGCGTCTATACTTCAAAACAGTTCCGAAGCTACAAGTCCTTGGAGTCTCATGTGCAGTTCATGAATGGATGGGTTCAGGAGCTGCAGATCATAAAGCCAGCAAACAGTGCGAACACAGTAATCCGTACGAAGGTAAACTGTGCTTAGACGGGCTCTGGAACCTGCTAGTTTAGTAATTGCTAACGGTTAGTGCTAACAACCACTCACGCATGTAATGTACTTTTAACTATCTGCTATGTGTTTCAAAGGTGTAATTAGTAACGTTAACTGCCAACCCTCCCTAAACCCTCTGGGTTTCTCACGTATTTGAGCCTTTTCCCGCTACTGTTTTTATTATTTTCCCGTAAAAGATCCCAACCTTGAAGGAAAGAAACAATGTAGGCTATAAAATAAAACCGTGCATCTTTAACTTACCAGAATGAAAATGCAGGGAACACACTCTTGTTTACATCGGGATACTGTGGAAAGTTATGTTCGGTCGTCTTACAGCCGCTATCCAAGCTAGCCAACGACTCTTAAAGGAATAGTACACCCAAAACATGATAAGCCTTCATTTTCTACTCACCCCCATGCTGAACAACACTCTGGAGTACTTTTTTGATATCTCAAATGCATCTGGAGATCTGAGAGGCTTCTTGCTGTCTGCTGACATTCAAATAATGGAGGTCTATGGTGCCCGAGGCAGAAAGGTCCATAAAAGTCCACAAAAAACGTGTCAATATTCCTCCATACTGCTCGTCCAATGCATTCCAAGTGTCCTGAGTGGGTAGCGTCCATAATTTACTCGAAACGAAGTCATTTAGAATGTTTTTAGAGCATAAACAGTAGTGTATAGGATTTCCTAAAAGCGCGTTCACGAGTCTACGGAAACCGCGGCAGACCAAACCAGACGAAAGTGCGCATTCAGCTCGGCAAAGAACTCATGCTCTTCCTCAACACTGAAGTCCTCAGACATTTTTCTTTCGTTGTTTCTTTCTTTGCACAGGTAAACAGCACATTTCTTCTTCTACGCTTGCATTATCGGCAGAGCAGACGCTGAATGCGCACTTTCGTCTGGTTTGGTCTGCCGCGGTTTCCGTAGACTCGTGAACGCGCTTTTAGGAAATCCTATACACTACTGTTTATGCTCTAAAAACATTCTAAATGACTTTGTTTCGAGTAAATTATGGACGCTACCCACTCAGGACACTTGGAATACATTGGACGAGCAGTATGGAGGAATATTGACACGTTTTTTGTGGACTTTTATGGACCTTTCTGCCTCGGGCGCTGGGCATCTCCATTATTTGAATGTCAGCAGACAGCAAGAAGCCTCCCAGATCTCCAGATGCATTTGAGATATCAAAAAAGTACTCCAGAGTGTTGTTCAGCATGGGGGTGAGTAGAAAATGAAGGCTAATCATGTTTTGGGTGTACTATTCCTTTAATCTCTGACACTTGGTCTCCATGGTTGCGCCTCCAGGCAGGAAAGCGGTGGAAAGTTAACCCATTTTCTATGCTTTTCCCATGGCGATCATGTGTTGAGCTGTTACAGCCCACAATACAGCAACGGTTTACCATGGTTGAAATCAAGTTAAGGTGAAATTAATCAAATTAAAACACGGCTGAGAGGGAGTACGGTACGCTGTAGTCGTAGGCAGTAGTCTGAGCAGCGATAAAGCCATCAACATGGCGGCCACGCAAAGTAATTACGCCATGACGCCCAAGCCCTATACCAGTCCATCCCTTACAGGCTAGAGGGAGTATATAGTAATGAGTTGATCTTCAGTTCCCCCATGGAGATGAACACCTACAGGTGCTGGTCATAAAATTAGAATATCATGAAAAAGTAGATTGATTTCAGTAATTCCATTTAAAAAGTGAAACTTGTATATTATATTCATACATTACATACAAACTCATATATTTCAGATGTTTATTTTGTTTAATTTTGATGATTACAAATGACAACAAATGAAAATCTCAAATTCATCATATCAGAAAATTAGAATATTACTGAAGACCAATAAAAACAAAGGATTTATAGAAATGTTGGCCAACTGAAAAGTATGAACATGAAAAGTATGAGCATGTACAGCACTCAGTATTTAGTTGGGCCTCCTTTGGCCTGTATTACTGCAGCAATGCGGCGTGGCATGGAGTCGATCAGTCTGTGGCACTGCTCAGGTGTTATGATAGCCCAGGTTGCTCTAATAGTGGCTTTTAGCTCTTCTGAATTGTTGGGTCTGGTGTATTGCATCTTCTTCTTCACAATACCCCATAGATTTTCTATGGGGTTAAGGTCAGGAGAGTTTGCTGGCCAATTAAGAACAGGGATACCATGGTCCTTCAACCAGGTACTGGTAGCTTTGGCACTGTGTGCAGGTGCCAAGTCCTGTTGGAAAATGAAATCTGCATCTCCAAAAAGTTGGTCAGCTGCAGGAAGCATGAAGTGCTCTAAAACTTCCTGGTATGGGGCTGCGTTGACCCTGGACCTCAGAAAACACAATGGACCAACACCAGCAGATGACATGGCACCCCAAACCATCACTGACTGTGGAAACTTTACACTGGACTTCAAGCAACGTGGATGAAGTGCCTCTCTTCTTTTCCTCCAGACTCTGGGACCTTGATTTCCAAAGGAAATGCAAAATTTACTTTCATCAGAGAACATGACTTTGGACCACTCACCAGCAGTCCAGTCCTGTTTCTCTTTAGCCCAGGCAAGACGCTTCTGACGCTGTCTGTGGTTCAAGAGTGGCTTGACACAAGGAATGCGACAGCAGAAACCCATGTCTTTCATACGTCTGTGTGTGGTGGTTCTTGAAGCACTCACTCCAGCTGCAGTCCACTCTTTGTGAATCTCCCCCACATTTTTGAATGGGTTTTGTTTCACAATCCTCTCCAGGGTGCGGTTATCTCTCTTGCTTGTACACTTTTTTCGACCACATCTTTTCCTTCCCTTCGCCTCTCTATTAATGTGCTTGGACACTGAGCTCTGTGAACAGCCAGCCTCTTTAGCGATGACCTTTTGTGTCTTGCCCTCCTTGTGCAAGGTGTCGATGGTCGTCTTTTGGACAACTGTCAAGTCAGCAGTCTTCCCCATGATTGTGTAGCCTATAGAACTAGACTGAAAGACCATTTAAAGGCTTTTGCAGGTGGTTTGAGTTAATTAGCTGATTAGAGTGTGGCACCAGGGGCCATCAATTTTGAACCTTTTCACAATATTCTAATTTTCTGATATGATGAATTTGAGATTTTCATTTGTTGTCATTTGTAATCATCAAAATTAAACAAAATAAACATCTGAAATATATGAGTTTGTATGTAATGTATGAATATAATATACAAGTTTCACTTTTTAAATGGAATTACTGAAATCAATCTACTTTTTCATGATATTCTAATTTTATGACCAGCACCTGTATATGTAACATCCCAGATATTCTCCATGTAAAAAAGGGCTAAACTTTTCAACATAAGATGTAGATGAATTGGAAGAGTCATACTCAATTTTCTTTTTTTTTTATTTTACCTACTAAAACTATTTAATTTAGAATTAAACAAATAATGTCAGAACCTCCTCAGGCATATCTAGCTTTCTTAAAACTTTATCTGCCTGTACTTGTAAAAATTGCCTGTAAAAATTACGCAAACAATCTTACCTCCTACTGGCAAGTAGGAAATTTACTTACCAGGAGAGATATTAAACATTCAAACTAAAATCTTTATATCAAACTGAAATTGGAAAAAAAATAAAAAAGATGCTCACATTTAGCACAAATAATGATAAAAAAAAAAAACTTACAGCTCATAAAAGAGTTTTGGAGGAAGTCTAGGCAAACTTATCAGGTCTAAAAACCTTTAGTCAAACACAACTTAAATTTACTATCAACTGCAGGGTTTTGAGCATGAAAAGCTGTTTAACATCAGGCCTTAGCATCACAGCTGGCTTTAGTTCCAGACTTTAGCCAGGCCACTAAAAAAACAAAAAAACAATGTTCATTTAATCTCTTTGAGCCCTTGGGCAGTGGCCATGCTTTCAATTTTTTTTTTTTTTTTTTTTTTTTTTATAACTGAGGTGTTATTCTGTTTTAGGTTATAATTAGATGTCTGCACATTCTCCTTCAGAATTTTTGTGGTAAAGAGCAGTATTTGTTATTCCCTCAAATAAATTACGTCATCAGGGCTGTGGAACAGCAAAGCATTCAAGACCATCACATTACAATTACCAAGTTTAATAATAATAATTGAACTTTTTTGATCTCACATTGGAGGAATTTACCTCTTTATTTAACCCATCCCATTGGGGGAGAAATGGGCTGTCATTGTGCAGCGCCCAGAAAGCAGTGTTGGGTTAAGGGCCTTGCTCAGAGACCCAGAGTGGCAATCTGTGGGAGTCGGGTTTGAACTCAGAACCTCAGGATTCCAAGATCTTTGTCCTAACCACTAGGCTGCTACTCCCCTCAACTCCCCTTTAGATGTTAAAATTTTACTTTTCTTAGATTTGTTCATTTTCTCAAAGATGTAATTGGACAAACACCTTTCGCAATGTTGCATCTTAGTATTTTACAACTAACTATTATAAAGTCTTAGGACCACCAAGAAGTTGTCTTGTCAAAGTTGAAATGGGTCTTTTTGTTCAGAAGTGCTTTTGGATCTTGGAACTTTTCCATTAATGGCTTTTTGCCAACTATTTTTTTTTTTACAACTGAGTAACAAACAGTGAGCTTTTGAGAGGCGAGTGACGCCTACAGTGCTTTGGAAGTTTTTCTTGTTTCATTTTTTTCTTGTTTTTATAAACTATTAAATAACGACTCATTAAAAGACATCAAACTACTGATCTGTTCTTATATTTCTTTACATCAGTGCTTGAGGCAATGTTTTTAAAGAGCTTTTGACCAATTTATATTGTCAGATTCTATAGAACTGGGTAATACTTAAACATTGGTGTAGCTATTGAAATTGCACTTAAAATATTTTTTTCACAGAAGGCCAGGTGGATTTGGATAATTCTTTATTTTTACATTTCATTTGATGAAAAAAAGCTATTTGTATTTATTCTGATTATGTTATGATATCAAAAACTTCCAGAGCACTGTGTCATTCAGATAGAGTATAAAGGGTTTTATATCATTGGTACAACATTCAGGTGCAGAGCAAAAGTAAAAAAAACATGATTTGCTGTTGAATAAAGACAGAAAATGACCTACTTTGAAAAAGGTGCTGAAAATCTCCTGGTTCACCTGAAGGGTTCGCTTCTTCTCTCCATCATAAACAAGTTTTGTTCCCACTGGAGTGTTCTGCTGGGTAATGGTGGCCTTCTCAAAACCATGGCACTTGGAGCGCAGCTGTGATCTGGGGAGCCATAAGGACACTGCTGACTCTCACAGTGCAACGAACAATTGAGGATATCCGATTTAACATAAAATATGCTTGAACTTATCTATTATTTGCGTTTTAAATTTATTTGATTCTCCTTTAATTAAGTATTTTTATTCCTAATAGCTAAAGCTTTTAGTAATATTTTGTGTAACAGTTTCTTTAGTTTAAAGATCATGCATTCTATTTCCAATTTCAAATTACCTATTTAAATTATATGTTCCTTCATGGTTAAACCTCCTATCTTTAAAAATTTAGGATAATATTTTATAGATTTAAGACTGAATAAAGAAAAACAACACATAACAAAATGTTTTTAGTATTATCACATAAGGTAAAAGATGCAGATCCGGTGGTTTCAGGGTGTTTTTTTCTTCTTACCTGAACTTCAGGTAACTCTCCTCTTGTTTCTTCCAGGCTTTCGCATATACTTCTAAGACTTTTTTTATATTCTCCCTTTGATAGATAAACACGTCAGAATTCACTATAACATTTGTGAAATCAGCATTTCTGACAAGACTTAGTTTGTTTGTAGTACAAATAAGGCCCTAGTCATTCAGTAGATGTAGAACGCTGCACCAATTTGTTCTCACCTGCAGTCTTTGCAAGAAGCTGGGGGTTGAGGAGCTCTCTTCTGCTGAGGCTGTGATTGCAGAGGTTGCACATTACTGTGGGAAAAGGACAATATTGCATTAGACAAGATATTTATCATTGCAGACCTGTTTTTTTGCATTTAATAAAACAATTGCAGATCATCATGAATAAAACACATTAACATTTATTGCCTAACAGTATAGCTGAATGATTTAGTTAAATATACTGGGATTAAAACTAATATTGCACCGATACCAATACCAGTATCGGGCAGGGCCAAACCCAGCAATAAAATGGTGGTATCAGTATCAGCGAGTACCAACAAATAGGGCACCGATACCATTTTGAGAGCCAAAAGTTTATTCAACTATTGTCACCCATTCCAGGTAGGCAATAAAAAGTTCTACTGGATTCACTTTGTATTAGTCTTTTTCCTGCTTCACAAAGGTAGGCAGCAGCTTGACAGACCTGTGATGGCAATTATTTTGCATCCAAGTAGTATGCAGTTCTTAATATATACAGTATACACACACACATCCATTTCAAACATGGTATCCGTATGGTATCGGTGTCAGCCAATACTGCACATCCAGGTATCGATATCGGGGCCAAAAAATTGCATTGTCACAACACTAATTAAAACTAGAAGCCTTTGTGATTTGAAAGTTGCATTTTTTTAAATTGCGATTATATTACAAAAGCAATTAATTGCCCAGCCCTGAAGTCTTAATTATACTTAACTTTTCCATTTTTATTACAACCACAAACTTCAAGGTCTCTCATTTGAGACACACAAAAGGCTTTTCTGTGATGATCAAACGATCGTGAGGAAAGCATAAGTAACAGCAGAAATCGTGATTGTCCTAGGAACAATGCATCAGGTTAATAAAAAGTTGTTGAGAAATATAAAGCACTGTAAGGTTAAGGGACAACATGCCTACATCACCTGCTAAAGTGATCGGCCTGGTAAAAGCAGCCAAGAGGCTCACTAAAACTCTTACACAGCGGCAAGGAACCTCACTGCTCACATAAATGAAGTGAAATTACTCTTATTAGTTACACATCCCACAAACTTAGCCTTTCTCCAAAAATGTTCAGACAAAAGGTGTATAAAGATCTAGATAGACCTAAAAGCTTTTTAATTTTGTTGCTAATTCATTTAATTCATTGCAAATTCAATTCAAAATACTTTATTATTTCCAAAAGGAAATTAATGGTTTTAGCTCCTATCAAAGTGACTCATCAAAGAGTTGTAGAGGTTGATTGCTGTTGGCAGGAGAAATCTCTCGCAGCTACCTGTGTGAAAAGACACCCTGTATTACCGTACATGAGTTTGCTCAGAGTTGTCCACCATGCTCTTTTCTGTATGAAGTATTCATCTTTGCAAACGTATTCAATTCATTTTATTCATATAGCACCAAGTCAAAACGAGTCATGTCAAGGCACTTTACAGTTCAACAGATCATACAGTCAAATTGATTCAAAGTTTTCTGTCTAAGGAAAACCAGTTGATTGCATCGACTCATTGACTTGAAGGCAATCCCTCACACTAAGCATGCTTGTAGCGACAGTGGAGAGGAAAAATTCCCATTTAACAGGAAGGAACCTCCAGCAGAACTAGTCTCAGTGTGAGCCGCCATCTGCAAAGGCCGACTGGGGTTGAAGGAGACAGAAGCAGACATACTGGAAGAAGAGATAAAAGAGGCAACTGTAAAAGGTGGCCCCGTCCAGGAAAAACACAGCCAGGGAGATGAGCTCCAAGCCATCTCCCATGTGAAAGGATGAATGAGGAAGTTTTATCATTAATGTGAATGGACTGAAATCAATCAGATAAGATTTAAACCAGTCTATTGCTGTTCCTTTAATTCCTACAAAATATTAAAGTCTTTCTAAAAGAATATTATGATCAACTGTGTCAAATGCAGCACTGAAATCTACCAACAAGAACAGATCTCTAGAGGTTGTAAACTTCTATAATATATGAAGCTTCTTTCTGCAGACACTAAAGAACCTAAGCTTGCTGAAGCAGTACAGAATGCTCTGTTCCTGCTTGTATGACTTTACTGCTGTTCATGTGATCACAGAGGTATTTATGTTCCTCCACCACCTCCACCTCTTCTCCAATTGCAGTCAGTGTTTACCTTGTTCCTGTTTTTTTTTTCTTGTTTTGTTTTTTTTCTGAAATCTTTAGTCATCTCCCTTGTTTTATTCACAGTCAGAATCAGTTGACTGTTTCTACTTCATGCCACAAGCTGTTTACCAGCTCATGGGGCTCAGCTTCTAGTCCCTCTTTGATGCACCTATAATGCCTGCTGAGTTATCCAAGTATTTCTGCAGAAGTCTCCCTTGTACTAGAAGTTGGAGGTGTACAGAGTAAAAAAATTGTCAGAGTACCTTTGACTGTGGTGCGCCTTTGTTGTTGACTACCTGGATATAGACCTAACCCTTCAGTCTGCTAAACTGAGGTTTATTTGTCAGGTAATATTTACAGGAAATCGCTGAGGTCTCCACCTGAGTCCTCTGTAGTTTATGACAAAGTAAATCAGGCTGAACCTTTTTAAATACAAAATCAGAGAACATGATCCTCACTTTGATGTCTGCCTTGTCCAATTGACATTTTGACTGATAATACTGTGGGAGCCCTTATTTTTTAAGACATTGACATGGATGCGGGTTACCTGGGTTCAAATCTCCTCAATTAGGGAGAAGCTGAAAGGACTCTAGTAATCAAAACAATGTCAAAAAAGGTAACAAAATACCTCACTGACTTCCCACACTTATGTGTATACTAAAATGGATTGTTCCTCATATCGTATAAAACATTTGGAAATGCTGTGTAACACTTGAGCAGTGAGAGATATCAGATAGAAAAAAGAGGAAGGTGCACAATGAAGGTGGGTTTAAAAGAAAAAAAAATAATATTTGAACAACATAAAAATTGGCTGAAGCTCTGACTGTTTTCTAAATTGTCCCAGATCTTCTAAAGGAAGACGTTTAAATTGTAGTTAAGAAGATGCATAAAGCCCATAAATCACAAGACTGATGTTTAATTTAGTTTTTTTAATTCAACCAATTAGTTTTTGCTGTTTTCCATATAAATTCCTTTCTTTATCTGAAAATAGTTATTTTAGAAGTTTTTATTGTTTAACAGGTGACTATTAATGTTGTTACAGTAAGATATGATTGAAATATGCTGTGTCTTGTGATCTTATAGTAACTTGCAGTGTCACTTGTAAAAATAAATCAGTATCAATCAAAATAGGAGCTGGCATATCAGGCTTTGTAAAGATCAGGAATCGGTGATCGACGAAAAAAACAGTAGGCAGTGCATCCATATGATAGAAGCTTGCTTTACCACAATCTGACAATAAGGAGAAATAGAAGACAGAAAAAAAATGTTTTATTTTAACAAAGACAAGACTGGTGCACAAGCAGGACACGCCGCCAGTATGTCAGTCCCTGAATGTCTAGAACAGCTGTTCAGTCTGGGGTCACTGTCCTGCCTCGATCATGAGGCGGAAGTTTACACTGAAAGCCTCAAAATGGCTCAGGAAGGGGGGCAAGGCTCATTCCAGAGCAGCCACAGAGCCAATCGCAGAACTGGAGCCTGGTGCTTCCATGCACACACACAGTTGGAAGTGGATTCAGCTAGGCTGGGTGCTGACTCAGAATAAGGTCATTTTAAGTTACAGCAAAGTACCAATTTATTCAGAAAGACCAGAGGTAGAGGTTAACTCTAATAGGCATTATCATACATATTTATGTTATTATATATAATCAGGAAATGAGAACAGAGAGACTTTAACGTGAGATACAGTTAGACTTAAAATCCCTGGTTGTGACAGACAACCAGTATTCCTCCTTTCTTTACAGTAAGCTTCTACTGTAGATGGATCTCCATCATAATATAAAAAAAGGTTCTTAGGTTAGTGAAAATCAAAACATTACAAACTAATCAAATAAAAAAAAATCCATTCCAAAATATTTACTTTATATATAGACTTTTAAAGCAAACTTAAAAACAGATTCCTGACCAAAATGCTATCCATATCAAAATTGCTAAAAGTATTAATAAAGTGCTCATGGCACAAAAACAAATAACAGAACTGTGTTAAAAGAAACACATTAAATGTTGCAGTGTTAAAGTAACACTTTTTTAGTACATTTAGTCCCACACTAATTCAGAGTGGGACCAAATGTACTCTTGAGTGTTAAAACAAAAAAGGTCAGTCTTTAAAAATTTTTTAAAAGAAGACAGTGAAGGTTCATCTCTCACATGCAGCGGAAACCCATTAATAAAAGCTTCAACCTTAAAAAGTTCTGTCTCGACTTTGGAACGGCCAGGAGCAGCTAATCAGCTAATCTGAAAGACTGATGATGGCCCTTTTAGCATTTAAATACAATTGCAAGAAATGTATTTACATGATAAAGATGAGAACAATGATAAATGTTACATAAATCTCAACTTAAACAAAAGCCAAACATTTAGAAAGAAAGAAAAAAAAAATAATTAACCTTAATAATAAACTGGTACTAAAGTTTTAGTACCCTGTCAATCTCTGACCCTGCTTCAACTTTATCAGTTGAGCAAAGAAAATAAACAGCAGTAAATTAAATGCTAAAATAAGATAAACTACAATATTTACTATACTTTAAACCGATAAAACCACCAGATGTAAAGCTCACTTATTTTGAGTTTAGCTGTTTCTTTTACTATGTAAACGATTTCACTGTTGCTATCAATGAATAACTTTATTTTAAAATAGCTCTCCAACTGGGTCATTTAGATAATTCTATTCTGCCACAAATCAATCCTGTAGTTTTAGTTGAAGCAGCTAATCTGCTTCGTGTTCTGGTTGTGCAGGTTGTGAGGTTTGAACTGACAAGGCGCAGAAAACTTATATAGACTAACTCACGTGGGGCATAGGTCAATCTGGTGAGGCTCAATACTGTTCAGTCTAAAACAGACCCGACCATTTACAGCAGTGGAGGCCGGGCCCATAAAGCAACAGCATTTTTCTGTGACCAAAATGGTAGCTGCAATGGAGAGATATTTTATTAGTGTCCTTTGTAATGTCCCAAAAGAGCAATAAATATTGTTACAATTTAAAAAAAAATGGCTGCTGTAAGAGCTTTTCTTTTTAAAAAAAATATGTTTTTTCAATCACGTCCATTGTTATATGATTGGTGCTGAATTGTTTCTCCTGACTGTTAATCCCACCTCTGAAATCTGGCTCTACTCTTTCCTCTCCAGCCTGATATGCATAGTACACTTAAATTAGTCTGGCTGGCTGGCTAAGATTGTAATGTTATTCTGAGATTAGTTCCTTCTTCATCTAATTGCTTCCTATTATTCAATCAATTCGTTCTCTTACCTCTCCTCAAGCTGGCACTTACAAGCTTTTTAACCTTATCTAATAAAGCTATGGACCCCTGAATTACTTCAGAGATACGTTTTTAAAAAGCATATTTCAAATGTTTTTTTTATGATTTCAGGGACTGGGTTTTAGTGGTCCAGATGCAATAAAATATGCCTTTGATGAACTTTCACAAAACAAGCTAAACTTCCAGGAATATCAAAATGGGTTTAATTATTCTTCCACTGGTTTAGAATAATATAATCTAGGTTTTAGGTGTCCAAGTATTGGATTTTCTTAGCCAGACTGGTTTGGTAATTTGGTTAAGATGCTAAAAGACAACTGAAACCATCCTTAAAATCTGACATTAAATATTAAATAAAGATTTTAGAAACCATAAACTGTGTTTTAAAGAATGTGGTATTACTGTAGAATATCATAAGCCAGTTTTAAGGTTTAAGGGTGTAGGAGATTTCACGCTACTTTAATGTAAAGACACGTAAGGTAGTGAGATAAGAGACGGAATAACAGTTTGGCTTTTTCCCGAATCAGAAGTCTCTGAATTGTCTGTCCTTTAGTGTTGTTTGTCATCTGTGTGAAGTTTTTATGCTTTATACATATATTTTTAAGATATTTTAAGTTTTTCTTTTGGGGGGGGGGGGGGGGGGGGGGGTAGACTAGCCACCAGACACACTGCTTTGCGTAAAATGGCGGCTGGTTGCTAGCTACTGTACACACCAAGACTCAGCCACACAATGACAATGCAAGGAAATTGGCTAGCAGACTGTTAAAGAAGGTATTCAAGCATGACAATTGTGGCAGCCCAACAGAATTTTTCACTCTCGGGGCTTGAAACTCATGGGGTTGACCCTTTACAAACGTTTGCCTGGAGCAATACTGAAAGGCTGAATTGGTTTTTGTTTTGGTTTAAGAACAGGGTAGAAGGTCTTTCCTAATAATGGAATAGTCTCCTGGGTCAGGCTAAGGTTAAGAGGTACTGTATAATCCCACTGGGATTTTAAAGATAGAATTTGCCCTCAAGGCCACCTGTCTGCCCCCACCAGCAGTGATAGGCTCTGGTCAGATAAGACCAAAAGTCAACTATTTGGCCAACGTACAAAATTTTGAGTGTTGAAAAAAATTCTCAAACCCAAAAAGGATCACTATGTCTAGAGAGAAAAATGTTGGCAGAAGCTTTATGCTGTTGGAATGATTTGACTAAGCAAGTAATTAAAGGTGGTGTTTGCATTCCAGCAAAACACCACTAAGCATGCCAAGTTAAGTCCAATTAAAATTTGACCAACATTGTTAAAGAAACACAATCGAAATCCATTTAGACAAAGTTCTTCTTTAATGCATGCACTTTGCTTAGTATCACACTACTGCTGTTTGAGGATGAGTATAAAAGGGTTAAAGGGTAAAATATTGCTTTGCAAATACACTATCAGTAAGCAGCCGGCATGCAAACTCTAATGCATGCACCATTGCCATTTCAACATATCTTGGTTGCAGGCTTCCTTTAGTCTGTGGTTGTCTGTGACTGTCTCGTGCTCTCATGGGTTCCTCTTCCTGTTTATAAATGTGATTCGCCTTAAGAGATTTGATTTCAGATCAGCTTGTATTACATATTTGCAAATTTAGTTGTTGATTTCTTTGCTCAATTGTTGAAGAAAAACAATGGAAAATATTTTTCAATTTTTTATGACTATCAATCTGTCAGAATCTCTATTAAAATCTTGAAAACAGTATCTTTTGGAGTGAGATTTTGAAGGATGTCTGCATCTGAACTACAATGAATACATTCACTGTGTTTGTAGACACCAACATGAATTTAGGAATGACAATAACAGTGAGAAGCATTTATGTTGTGCAGAATATAGCCTCTGCTAATATTTCTATTGAAACAAACCACTTTTTTTAACAGAAAGTTAGTAAAGGGCAGCAGAATGACTTCACCTCTATTGCATCATGTGTGCGTTTCTGTACTGTGTGTAAAAAGGACTTACTTGTTGTCTAACTTGTACCAGATGAAAGTGGTCACCAGGCTCACCAACAAGAGGACAGTGATCATCAAAGAGAAGAGAAGCTTCAAGAGCTGTCCCCTCATACCTTTCTAACCGTTAGCCCCTCTTTCACAACCTCGACTCTGTATCTGTCACAGACACTTTGATTCCATTTTATGCTCTTTTATGTTGTTCCCTTCCTCTGAAATAACAGTCTGTTCTTTCCCTCCAGCTGTTTTGTAGCACTTTGTTACAGATCCACTCTTCGTCTTCCTGTCTGCCTTGTGTGACTGAGTTTGCCTCTCAACCGGTAGTAGAGCCAAGTTGCTCAGTCATTTTCTTCCCCCTTCCTCTTGTACAGACAAGTCTCCAGTCTTTTTTGTAGCTCTACTTTAGGTTCCCTTCCTTCTCTTTGGGTCAGATCAGTTAGGTTGAAACTGCATCTTAGTCCATCCTCTTCATCTGCAAATCCTTTTCATGTTTTGTTGTTCATCCACCGTTTCTTGTCTTCTGTCTCTTATTCTTTCCACATTTACCCACCCAGACAAACTCTCCTACACAGCTCTGCTTTCCACCATAGTCTCACAGGCAGAGCTCTTTCTGTTCTCCGCCCCCATCCCAGAGCCTCAGCCTTCACCCTTTGCTTGCCCCTCCCGCCCCCATCTGTCCTCCTCCCACTCTCCTCAAACCCCCCTATCCCTTCTCCTGTTTTCACAAAGGGGAAGCAGAACATTAACATGAGTTCCCAGTACTGAATCAGTTCACAGTTTGCCTCATTGGACTCCTTATGCCCCCAAATCTCCCTTACACTTACACAAGCTACCTTCATCCTAATAGGAACCTTTCTCAGCTGTATCAACTCTGCAAGAAAAGTATCTTAGTTTCACCTAGAAGAACAATAAATTTGTTAAGAAAATCGCTTTACCTGCAACCGCCAATGCAAGAGAGAAGTAAGAGAACCATTAAACCAAAGACCTACCTTTGTATTTTACTCTCTTACACAACACTGGAAAAAATAAATTAAGTCTTAAAGGAAAAGCTGGGGGAGTATCTTGGGAAAACTCTCCCCTATGTGGACCTTATTTCACAATAACCTCCCACTTAATGACGGACATTCTGTATCGGTACTTGGTAATTTTGGCAAGTCAAACCAAAACAAAAAAAGTCTGTGGAAAGAAATTGACTCTGTTTGTTCTGCATTTAGTCACTTCTAATCAAATCTATTTGCAAGGTATCCTGTTTAGCATGTGCTCTGTTTTTGGAGTTTATAAATGTCTGACATGCAAAATAAATTAGCCTTTCACCTTGATCCACTACAAGGTATTATATGTAAATTAATTGAGAGTATATTTAATTCCTCTGAGATCTAAAATAATTTCTTACTTAATAAAATAAAGACTATTATTTGTGGGTAAAAGAAGGAAAATGCACAAATGAGAGAAAGGCACAACTCAATGATCTGAAAGTATTGTGAGACACTACCAGAAATATAAAGCAAAGTATAAGAAAATTCTATCATGCAAATGATGATATGGTAGAAATGTTCTGGGCAAAAGAAGCCAGCACTACTGAAAATCTGTATTTTATCTAAAAAAGGTCCTAAAATTGTTATATCAAGATTTAATATCTGATTTCAACTGATTACAATGTTGCTTTTCCTTCTCATGCTAACACAGACATTCAAGAAGACACACACAAGTCAGTGATTAGCGCATTACAGACAATGCCATTTCCATCTTGAGACCCCATTAGCTTTTTAACCATATTAAAGCCAAAGAAGCAATTTTTCATGATGACATTCATTATCTCATAATGCAAGAGACATCTCAACATTGTCTGACTCTCCTCTATGTAGAAAACCCTGTTAAGCCTGAATTATAAGGAATGATGGAGAGTTGTGTCATAAAGATAAAGTTTGATGTTTCATCCTTCACAGAGAGACAGAAAAGGTTGGAGTAAAATTTTGTACCCTCTCAAGGTTGGCTAGGAGGTCCTAAATTTTGTAATACACTTGTAAAACCTGAGCAAAATCTTGAGACTCATTGAAAAAATAGCAAGAAATTCTATTTATACAACAAAACCTTAATAATGTTCTAAGTATAGCTTTTCAATGCTAAAATAGATTATAAAAGCAAGAGAAAGAAACTTTTAAACTGGCATTTAAAAAACAACCCAAACAATTGAACTGGAAAAGACTATTCCGTCAGGACGTCTTGGGGCCAAGGCAAATAAGCTCATTGACTTTGAACACTGAGCTGCATCAGCAAAGTCTCCTGCAACGTGTCCTCACAAAAGAAATATGTACATAGGAAAATTAGGTTTAAAAGTTTTTTTTAAATCAAATATATGAAGACACTTTGTGCTTATCAGGTATTTATTCCATTGATTTAATCATCTCCACTTAATCTTAATGTAGGACAATTATACATTTTTTTCAGCAGAGTGATTAAACTCTGTGGTGGCTTTGTTACAGGTCACGCTTCAGTTGCATAAGCTAGACCAATTATCTGTTTTAGGGTTAGACAGAAGCAATCGGCAAACAAGAAAACCGCACGGGGACCTCCCTATCACCATTTGGGAGTTTGTTCTGAAGCAATGCAAATAGTAGATTAAACTGAGCCTTAAGTTGTTGTTTTTTTTGTGTAATTTCAGTGGAAGAGGCAGAGGTTCATTAAAAAAATAAACTGTTGCAACTGCTCCAGGGATGGGTTCAGTTGCAATACCTCCCTGGATCAGTGGCAGAATGTCATAAAGAGTTTCAATTTCGCTACTTAACCATACCATTTTTGTTGTTTTCAAAACTTAACAGTTTAACTACAACATTGGACTATCTGAAAAATGTTCATACACATAAATTACAAAATGAAACAACGAAAAGTCAGTTTTGCAAATACTGCTCTTAGTAAACACCCAGAATTAACACTGCAAACTCAGCTCATTTAAAGTGTCTGTCTGTTGTGAGGCAATACAAATAGTAGATTAAGCTGAGTCTGGTTGGCCTGTTTGCTGATTAAACAAGCTTAAAGAAACTTGTGGAAAAGTAATGACTAAACACCATGTTTAGGCTAGACCTAGAATTTTCAGTCTAAGTAGGCTGGTTTAAGATTGAGAGAGAATAAGATAAACATGGTGAAGTCACAGTAGAAAGAGCTTACTCTGTTCCTGCTGTGCGTTTTCCACCCTTCATTCTATGGGAATTTGCAGTTAAATAGAAATAGTCTCAAAAGATTTTCCTAACAGGTGTAAATATTCAATTATCATTTTGAAACTCTTTGAGTTTCCCATTTTTCTGAGAATTGGCAGCTATTTTGTGTTGGGCTGGATAAGTTAAAAGAATTAGTGATCTGGAATTCACAAAAATAACATAGATGTTTATCCCTCATTGGTTGGCTCCTCGGTTGTAAATACCATGCACAGTACCATATTCTAACAGTTATCAAACAGCAAATGGCTCTACAGGAGGTGTGTGTTAAAAACATGGACCTAGGGATGGCAGTAAGAGATCATGTGGCTGAGAGCAGCTGATCCCTGGGAATTCCACAGCTGCTTAGCATGAGGTCTGTAAGCTCCTGCATGTTTAACCAATTGATGCCCTTCAACTCTAAGAGACATTGTGAAATGAATATTCAAAGTTGGCAAATCCCATAAGAAGGCAAACTCACTCTTGTTTCACAATGAGCTGCAATACATATTGAATAAGTCATGTAACTGGCCACTTAGTGCTGCGGATTTAATACATCATGTAATGTTTGTATTGGCCATGAGAACCTTCTCTCTGAAAACAAAGTAATCTGTGATGTTTAGTATGGAGCAAATTAAAGTGTGCTTGATAGATGTCGACTTAAATGCCTTAAGAGGATTTGAGATACAGATATAGATCTGTATATTTCTTTACGATATTTTGTTGGGTTTTTTTAAGGATAAACTGTTATTTTGAAACGAAATGCAGAATTCATATGAGCTTTTATTGTTTCTTGTTGTGTTCTTAGAAATTTTTTTTTTAAATATTTCCTTTTTTTACTAATGTTTTTTGCATTTTCAAAAACCTTCTGACCTTACAGACCTTAATATATGAGATAAAGGTATAGTATAGAAAAAATAAACATATGTTGTGGTAAGGAGTGCTGGGTGACAAGAAATCCAAGCACTGTACTAGAAGGAAATGTATGTGTTTGTAAGGTAAATTTGATTGTTTCAGAAAAGTAGTCTTTACAACAGTGTTTTTATAATCACACCAGCTCTGCCTAGCTGAAATTCAACCTTTTTTCAATATAAAATTATGTTTCTACATGCTTTAATATGAGAATATGGCTAAGTTTGTTGCTTTCTTGTCACTTTTTAACAGTTTCAATGCCTCTTGCACAAAAAAGTTCTTAACTCATCTTCTAGATGTGAAATGTAAAACATCTTCTCAGTCTAACCAGGGGTTAAAATTGCTAAGTTAACATTACTTATATCAGGTATTATGTGCTCTACTCCACTTTTTGCCTCCCTCCATGTTATTCCAAATGAGAAACAATTTAACAAGTGATCTCGTCTAATGATATATATATATATATATATATATATGTATATATATATATTAGTGCTGTCAATATATTAAATTTTTTAAATCGCGATTAATCGCATCAATGCCTAAGTTAACTCGCGATTAATCGCATTTTAATCCTACATTTTTTTCCTGATTGAAAATCATTTAAATACTCTCGATGACATACAAAAAAATACATACAGGCTAGGTTTGTGCCAATGTTCTTTTTTTTAAATGAGAACAGGTCACAGATATTGATTTATACCATAGAAACATATGGCAAGAAGATGGGGAGGCATGTAGCAAAAAATAACAAATATGTAGGCAAAAAAAAGGCCCTGAAAACAGGCTGATGTAAAAGACAGTCTTTACAGTTAATACAGTCTTTTGAACAAAGACAAGCATTTTACCCTACTGCTATAAAATGCAGTACAGTTAACATTAGATGTTAATTAACCAAGATAATAATGAACAATTTTCAATCAACACATCAAAATCAATAGACCGACATCACTAGATGGAGGTAGTCTATGCTCTAGAAAGTTACTTTTCAGACTCTTAACAAAAATGAGAACACACACACAAGCACCCACCCACCCACACACACACACACGCGATACTGACCTGTGGCGTACACAGACGGCAAGAGTGCCGTAGCAGATTCCATTTCATCTCAGTAATCTGTTTTCTCAGCGTATTTCAGGTTGCTACTAGTTACCAGACACTCAACTTGTTTGTTGGTGGTGGGGCTTAAAGAAAAGGCACTAGCGTCACCCAGTGTATGAGCGTCTTTTTCCCTTGAGGAGCTCCGCTCTCGAAGCCTTTGAGAAATGCATACACTGGGGGAAAATAGCCCCGCCTTCTCGCAGGCTGCAGCGGGATGTACTTGGAAAATTGTACCATAAAACCACATAGCGTTAATCTCACGTTAAAAAAATTATCGCCGTTAAAATGGCCTCGCGTTAACGCGTTAATAACGCGATAATTTTGACAGTACTAATATATATATATATATATATATATATATATATATATATATATATATATATATATATATATATATATATATATATATATATATATATATC